AATTGACTCTCAACTTATTTCGTTTTACCTGGTAGAAGGAAATGAGAAGAATGTTGTAAGAACAATTCATTTTGTTCTACATGTGGAAACCGATCCTAAAACTTATAAAGAAGCTATTAATTCTCGTGATAACATTTTTTGAAAAGATACAATTAAAGATGAAATGGATTCAATTATGTCAAACAATACTTGGGAACTTGTCGACTTACCACATGTATCCAAACTTATTGGATGTAAATGGGTGTTTAGGAGAAAATATAGTGTGGATGGTTCTCTTAATACCTTTAAAGCTAGATTTGTAGTTAAATGTTATCGACAAAAGGAAGGAATCGATTATTTTGATACTTATGCACCGGTAGCTAGAATAACATCCGTTAGGATATTATTTGCATTACCTTCTATAAATGACTTGCATGTTCATCAAATGGATGTCAATACAACATTCTTAAATGAGGATTTCGATGAGGAGGTTTATATGGAACAATCTGAAGGGTTTGCTCTACGAGGAAATGAACATAAAGCATGAAAGTTAGTGAAATCATTATATGGTTTAAAGCAAATACCTAAGAAATTGCATGAGAAATTAGACTTAGCTATTAAATCATTTTGTTTCAAACATAATAGTGTAGATAAATGCTTGTATTCCAAATTATGTGATAATTGTGTTATACTTATTCGTTTATATGTTGATGACATGTTGATTTTGGGTAATCATATGGATGGAATAAAAGAAACGAAGAGGTTTCTATCTTTTACATTCAAGATGAAGGATCATGGACAAGTGGATACCATTTTAGGCATCAAAATTACTAAATCTATTGGGGGTTATCATTTAAGTCACACTACGCCAAAAATGAGCATTCGCAACACATAAAATGCAATATTCGGTAGTTAAGTGTTGGTAAAGGGGTCTATCGCAACATTTTAATAAGTGAACGTTGTTATTCGTTAATATAATTGAGCTTTAGCAACATTTTATAAATAAACATTGCAAAAAGTACCTTTCGCAACATTTATCGAATGTTGCAAAAAGTTTGTCAACTTTTTGCAGCATTTAATAGACGTTGCCTAATTCATTTGTCATCCTCAACCTAGCCATCTTCAGACAGAAGTAGAAATCTTCTAGCCGTCCTTGGTCGATTCTTCAAACCTTGGTCGAAATCTTCATACCTCAATCATTTACCGTTTTATTTTTACATCTTACACTATCAAACTAGGAAGAAGACTACTGGCGGAAGGAATGGATACCGAAAAAAACTTGCTAATATTTTCTCCATGAAGTTCATAATTGAGACGGCTGATGGAAGGAGGCGGAGGAAGTACAAGCAGGTCTCACATCATGTTTCTTTAAGTTAGATTTTATTTAATCGATAACTCTTTTTGGGTATTGATTTTTGATTCTAGGGTTTCTGATATTATATTTGTATGTGTGGCTATGCAAATATGCTATTGGGCTTGTGCGGGGTGTCCAATCATTTTATGATGTACATTATTTAGGTTTGCATGCAACTTTTATTCTTTTACGTGATCTATGTGTTTGTTGATTTTATTGTGGATTCAAGTAGACAACAAAGAGGGAAGGACATGTGCGAAGACAGGTTGAGAACCCGGAATCTATTGCAGATCACATGTATCGGATGGGGTTAATGGCTTTAATCTGTGCTGACATTCCTGAGATTAATCGAGACAAGTAAAGCTGATTAATTATCATTGCACTCTCAACATTCGTTTAGATATTTCGGTTCTATCTTAAAACTAAATATTTTCAAATGAACTATATTTTTTTGGCTAATTTTTTTATTTCCTTACACTGCAGATGCATAAAAATGGCTATTGTTCATGATATTACAGAAGGTCCGATGGGTTATTTTGAATCATAAATTTTTGAAGTAATTATATTTATTATCCATGTTGTGCATCCTCCATGAAAACAGAATGTCCTCGTTTAGGTTAGCACAAACTTTAATAGGACTCTTTTGAACTATTTCTTATGGTTTTATTTTCACTTCTAGAGAGTCAAATGCTTTCAATTTGATCGAAATATAGCAATTAGCTTTATAAGCAATATACTGTGAGCTAAAGAAAATTATAATTTGATACTTAAAAGGTGGGACTGATGTTGGAAAACCAAATCAGAAATTCAAAATTGACAGAGTTCCGAGTATTTTGGATGAAGGTTGTTTTGGCCAATAACATTTATTAGACCTGAATTTTTTTTTGGATTAGTGGATTTAGGAATTTGTTCTTGATTCAACACTATTGTTGGGGACATCACTCCTTTTGATGGGATTCGAAAGCATGAAAAAAATTGACGAGAGCGTGAAGCACTGAAGCACATGTGTAAATTACTTGGTGGAGGGCCACGGGTTTGTTTCTCTTCTGTTCTTATATCTATGGCAGTTTACTAAATTTATTTGTATTCTAATTTAAAATGATATATTATTTCTTGTTGGTTGATTATGTTATGTTCATGACAGCAAAGGAGATAGCTGATTTATGGATGAAATATGAAGAGAATTCTACTCCAGAAGCTAAGATTGTGAAAGATTTTGACAAGGTATCACATGTTTGCATTTCTAAATTGGAATTCTCAACATTTAAGTTGAACTAATTGATGCCCCTAGCTATGGAATTAAGTGGTGACAATTCTATATCTTGTTGTCAGTAACTAATATGCTAAGTGCTTTATAAAGGGAACTTTGTGGATGCTTCTTTTACATACAGGTAGAGATGATACTTCAAGCTTTGGAATATGAAAATGGTAATGCCACGATGTACTTATTCTTTGGTTGTTCCTGAAAAGTACGTGTTTTTGAATAATTAGTTTTAAGTCTTTAAATATGAGCAAAGACACACAACCTGATTTACAGCAATTCTTTTGGATGTTCTCTTACATATTGATAATTTTTTGAAAATTATTCTGATATTCTGTCCTTTGAATTGCTTCACATTCAATATGTAGTTTCTTGCTGTAAATCTTTTTCACCAAACCGTTGTCTAGTTGTGCCTTTTTCTATGTTATTATTCAACAGCCTGTTGTAAGCTATGTGTACCTTGTTGGGTCGTAACCTTGTAAGCTTGTAGCCTTCTAAGTTTGTGGTTTAAGATTTTCTATATTAGATCAAACATTATGGGTATTTTTTTTTATTAAATCACTTTGTTGATAATGAGAGTTTGTTGGTGAACTTAGTAGTAGGTTATTGAATCCTATTGTTTGTCTTACCGTTTTAGGAGATTTGTTATGTTTTCTGTCTTTTGTTGAGTTCGATTTCAATGAAACATTTACCTTACTATTTATCATGGTTTCATGTCAGAGAAGGAGCTTAGGTCTGATCCTGCATATTTATCTTACTATTACTCAAATGTCAATCTGAACCCAAGGCGGCTGCCGCTGCCTCTGTTGTCCAAGGAGGATTGGTAGTTTGCACAGAGGTTACAAGGAGGGAATTCGACCATTGGGGATAGGAGTAAGGTGAATAGGATTGATACTAATGGTGCTGGGAGATCCCTGTTTTCGATGCCACCTGGATTCAATTCTAAGAACCAAGAGAGTAAGAATGAGATGGATAACATGTAGGGTTCTGAAGAATGGGGTGTTGATGGATTGATTGGCAGATACTCGAAGAAGCAGTTAACTGTGGTAGATATCGTGTTATAGAATATTCTTAAGTTATAGGCTACTGGATGGAACTTCCAGATTTGAAGAACTCCATGAATTTATTAAAGAAGCGAAAGCCAAGTTAGAAATTTGTAATGATTGTAGTGAATGTTCTCCAAATGTTGTATTGATCCAATGTTGTATTGTATCACATTCTAATAGTGTATTGATTCAAAAATTTGTAATGAAATTTGTTCACAAAGTGCCATTTTCAATTTTTTCTGTCAATTACCATATATAACTGTAAAAAAAATTAAAATAATTAAAACAAGGTCTACAGAAACGTTGGAAAAATGTTGCAAAAGGGTATACCATAACGTTTAAAAAACACTACAAAATACTTTTTCGCAACGGTGAATAAACGCTGCAAAAAGTATTCTCTCAACGGCAATACCGACCTCCACAACACTTGGAAAAACGCTGCAAAAGGTCTTTTGCAGCGTTTTTTGGCCGCTGCAAAAGCCCTTTTTTGGTGTAGTGTCAATCACATTATATTGAGAACGTGATAGATAAGTTCAAACATTTGAACATAAAAGAATATAGTACCTCTCTTGATTAAAGTTTAAAACTTATAAAGAACGATGTAAGAGAAACTGTCGAATTAGAGTATGCAAGTGCTATATGAAGTCTTATGTATGCAGTTCAATGCACAATACCAAACATAACATTTGCATTTACTAGTAAACTTAGTAGGTTTACTAGTAAACTTATCTATACTTTCTCTCGAAACATCTAAAATCTAGGTTGTGTTATAGTGCTATGGCGCCCACTTTCAGGTAAAAAATCAGCACTGCGTATCCTTCAATATTTTTGTCCTAACATTTTCTCCAGACATTCTATTGAGGTGATTCAAAGTGTGCTAGAATGATAATTCAAATGGCTAAAACATCATTTCAAACAAATATTTCCAATTCGAACGTTTATTACGTCAAAAAATGAGTCTCAATCTCTAACTAAAAATATAGAATATACTTGTGTGATTGAAAATTGATTTGCAAAAATATTTTGATTTTATTTCACTCATTTTTGACTTCTAGTTGCACCAGGTTGACCCCCTAACATTGTTGAACCTTCATTGTTAGGTTTGACACAACTTTTAAATGTGTACACTTTAGTCCCCAAACTTTGGATCTTGTCATTTTTCGTCATTATTCACTTCTTTCTTTCAATTTAGCCTCCAATAATCAAGTTTCACCAACTTCTCCTTGATTCATGCCAACGTCACTCTTTTATCCAAATTTTACACAATTCACACCAATTCTCCTAACCTATAAAACAATATTAAAACATCATAAAAACTCTTAAAGACCATCAAAATAACAAGTTTATGAGCCAAATAAAACAATGAGTGAACCGTACTCATCAAAGGTTGTGATTTGTGTTGGATTTGAAGAACACTTGAAGGAGTCCAAGTTGTAATAAGAAAGGAAAAAATTATGCAAGAAGAAGGAAACGGTGAGCTAAAACTCGCTACTCTCCTTAATCCCGCTCAAGTGCTTAGAACAAGAGTTTCAGCGCTCTCTATCTGCTAGGAAGCCGCTTGAGTGACCAACTATTGCTCGACGGTCGTGATCCGAAATTTGAGCAATTCTCGATTTTGCATATTTTTAAATTTTATTTTATCCCTAATACTCCATTATTGTATAGATTTGTTATAATTGAATTTCACCGTATTTTAGGTTCTTCTTTGCACTATATATATGAAGAGTAAACCTCTAGAAAAATCAATCCTTACATTCTACATAATAATTTGTAATCATCCATTATTGATATTAATAAATCCTCATCTTCCGCCCGTGGACTTTTTTTTCGCGTAAATCTTGTGTACTTGTTTGATTTTCATATTGCGATAATATTCTCGTCCTTTATTTATTAATCGAGTGGTATCAGTTCAACACATAATTTTTAACAAAATAATATTACTTTTTACGCAAAAAGATTATGCCATTTGCTTGTTAGACTATTATGTTTTTTGACTTTAATCCCCACCAATACAATGGAAAAAAATGCTAATTGCAATCTCTTGTTTCTTCTTTTTCTAAATATTGCTTCTCCAAATTTTATTTATATTTGAATATCGTTCTCAAATATGGATCTCGTACATAATTGCTAAATTGTGAACTAGTTAAACTGATTTCTGGAAATGACTCTTAAACTTGAGATGATGTTTTAGAATTATTTATCATATAAAACTTAAATACATCGTTATCACTATCTTTAAAGACTATTTTTATATTCTCTCTTATCAAACAGGATAATTATTAAAATAAACTCATTTTTTTAAACAAGTTTTACTCTAAATTTCATATAAATTTTATAGGTACGGCAGTTGTCTTTTGTACGACCAATATGAAACCAAGTTGCCACTAAGCTTCAAACCCCATGCAAAACACATTCCTGCCGTAAGTTTACTATAAAGACCAAAATTTTTGAAATTTAAATCGTTACTAAATATTTCATTCGATAATTAAATGAACATAACAAACGACCCAACGTGAAAATTTTGGTTCTACCAATAATAAATAAAATATGTAGGAAACATATCCAAATAAAATATGTTCCAAATAACAAGATCCACGTGATAAATAAACCAAAATAATGCTGAAAAAAAAAAAACCATAGTCACATTACACCGAATTATTTATTTAGTTCCATAAATCCTGGCAACTTGACTGCACCTCATCGCCCGCAACCAACGATTTGTTCATACCTGTGTATGAGAAAAGGGTGCGTATATGGGAATATTCAATAGGACATGAATTTAATGTTGTAATCCCGAATAAAAGATTTAAAACATGTTTCAAAATATCATACCGTCATCATATCTTTAGAAACCAGTAAGAGTTCAATACATATTATATTTTTGGTGCCGGATGACCATATCATATATATCATATCATATCATATCATATATTTTACTTTCATAAGTGCAATAATTCATCAACATTGAAAAATAAGTTAAACGGGATAAAATCAACTGCACCTCGTTATCCTACTTTGTTGGATTTCTTAAACTTGGAAGACAAAACTAAAAGAAAGCACGTTCACTTAATTCTTTTTGCCTCTGTCGTATTTGTGCATATACATACAGTGTAGAAAAGTTATTGCCTTCATGAGTTATATTATATAACAAACTCAATAGAAAGTGGGGATAAGGGTATTGGACTTCGTGTAGAAAAATGTCATGCTTCAAGCAACACATCTCTTTCATCTAAAATGAAATATGTCAACAACTTTATGGACACGTGGTTGCTAGAGATTTTACAACAAAAATATAGGAATAATAAAATAAAAACTAATTCATAACCCTTTCAACAACTCCTACCCATGTGGCCGTACCATAATACAAAATCCTTATATAATTAAAAAAATAAATCAATTAACAACTTTCCAACTCTAATCACCCATATATTCTAAACTGATTAATTAACTTAACTAAATTACAATTTAGGGAATATCTTTCGAATTCGATAACTTGGGCATCGTTTATCCGAATTAACTTTTTCTTGAGCCTAATATGCATAATTAATTACGATCTATCCAACAAGCCCAAAATTCATAGACAT